GCTTCCTGCTGCTCGCCGCGCTCATCGTGCTCTACCTGCTGGGCGGCGCCGCCGTCTTCTCGGCGCTGGAGCTGGCGCACGAACGCCAGGCCAAGCAGCGCTGGGAGGAGCGCCTGGCCAACTTCAGCCGCCGCCACAACCTGAGCCGCGAAGAGCTCCGCGGCTTCCTTCGCCACTACGAGGAGGCCACCGAGGCCGGCATCCGCGTGGACAACGTCCGCCAGCGCTGGGACTTCACCGGCGCCTTCTACTTCGTGGGCACCGTCGTGTCCACCATAGGTAAGGGGGCCCCAAGGAAGGGCGGCCCGGGGGCCGGGCTCGCTGGCGTTTTCCTGGCTGTGCGCTTCGAAGTGCAGGACCGCGATTCCCAGCCCTGCCCATCCACCTGCGCGCTCAGCCCGGCGGCACAGATGCGAGCTGTTGCCTGACCAACAGGTGGTATTGCCTCCCTGCTTCGCTGAATGAGGTCCACGGGCCAGCTGCATCAGCATCACTTAGGAGTTTGTTACAAATGCAGACTCTCAACCCCTCCCCAAGCCTCTTGAGTCATAATCTGCATGTTAACAAAAATCCCCAGGGGATCTGAATGAGCCTTAAATTGGAGACGCTCAGCGCTGGGAGATTTTTCAATCTAGTTAAGGAGACAGAGCTTGAGTTCATGGAACATTAGGGAGAAAGCTTACAAATCTGGACAGGAACCTATAAAGATTTATTGAGTTAGTGCCATGCAAAAAGGCGCTGATCTGCACTGGTCTGAGGGGGAGGCACGAGTTTTGAAAAGACTGTCCATGACTTCAAACTTACAGAGAGAAAATCAGATTGAATAGGAGATTGGAAGCAAGGAAGCAAAAGTGCTAATGAGGATGGAAACTGTTTCCTACCAGGAAGGAGTGGGTTGGGGTGAGGAGAAAGGTCTGATTGGGATTTAGAGACTAACAGTGCTTTATGCTTTGGAGAAAAAGAGAATTGCATTGAGGGCCCAGTGAGCTCCCTGAGCTACATGAAGCAGAGGAAAGAAGGAAGGCTGGGAAGGTCTCCTGGCTAACTGGAATGGGTAGGGGACCTTTACTGCTAGACTGAAGAGCTAGAACTTACCTAGAGGCAATTGGGAGCTGTTGAGAGTTTTTGAACAAGAGGGTCACGTGGCTGCCGTCAGTTATGCCATTATTACCAACAGAAGGAAACAGCCTGGGAGTCTGCACCACACTCCTGAAGACTCCTCGCCTTTAAAGCATAATCCAGTGATAAGGCTGTTGGGGAAAATGCTGTAGAAATTTTGAGGAAAGCAGAGAGCTGAGGGGAGGAAGGGGGCTTTGCAGGGCTACGCAGAAAGGGAGTGGTTCCCAGCTGCTGGAAGGCAGGGGCAGCAGCAGGGCTGGCAGGGTGCGGGGCAGATGCTCTGTGGCTGTGGCCCCTGAGCTGCCAGGATTGCTTGTCAGTGAGGCGAGTGACAAGGCGAACTTCCTTGAAGCTCCCACGCAAGGTTGTTTTAGGTAGGCACTCTGCCAGAAGGAGCACAGAGTATAACAGAGCTCAGCCTCAGGCCTGATTAGTCAAGAAAGACTCCCAGGGTTGGTCTCGAAGCCATGGGCTTCAGCTGGTGAGTAGGAGGCAAGGCAGAGAGGATGAGCGTGATTCCGGACACATGGGCTGTATCTGATGTGCTTCATGCTAAACCGCCCAGCTCAATTGTTTTACCCCATCTGATCCCAGGTCACCCTGCCCATCAGCAGGCCGTTATGACATGACACTAACTGGGTAAGAAAAACTCTCAGCATTCTCCTTGATGACCAGAACACGGGGCCCGGACGGGGATGGAGACGGAGTAGTACGCCATGGTTCTCTCCCCCAGCCCACATTCTTCATTGGACTCTCAGCAGAATTGCCTAAGTCCCCCATTGTGTCACCTCCCATGTCTCAGAAGACAGTTCCAGAATTTCTATGTAGGGAGAACTTGGAGGGAACATCTGAGTGGGAAGTGTTGCTGTGGACCCTCCCTGTAATCTGCTATGCTTGCATAGCTAGTACAGGGTTTTGATTTAGATTACTCATTTGGGGGTGGCTTTGGTGGGAGACTGGGGACTTAAATCCTCCCCTGCCCCCACCGCAAGCCACCCATTTGTACTTCCCATGGACACGGAAGTAGGGAGGGGCAGAGTGTGTGTATAGACTGGTAAGCATCAATGCCAGAGGCACCAGGAATGTCATGGCTGGGTGGGCAACTAAGTACACAGGCTTCTGGGGCCCAGGAAGAACCATGTAGCCTGGTGGAATCGAAGGAAAGCTGGACCAGTAGTCTGGATTTGGAGCTATTCATCCTGCCTGTAACTTGGGCTGGTTTCTTAACATTCTGAGCCCCATCCTTCTCTTTTGAGATCTCCTCAAAGTGCCCACCCTGGTATCTGGCACATCTTAGTTGCTGAGTAAATGTTAGTTCTGTCTCCTTCCCACTCCCTGCCCCTAAGCCTGCTGCTCTTGCAGGGTTCTTGTGAGGGATAATGAGATCATATAAGTGAATCTTCTTTGAAAAAGTACAAAGCACTATATAAGTATGAGTTTATTTTTACTTCCTCATTTCTAACATTTCCTTTTAAACTGTGTCATTAATTGCTGATGTAATAACAGCACTGCAACCTTTTATTGGGGTACATATTGGGCACATACTGTGATTATTATGTTAATATGTGATCCAGCTAATTGAATAAATTAATCACACTTAATTTCAATCAACACAATTCACCTGTTTTAGGTGTGATTATCCCTATTTTATAGATGAGGAAACTGAAGCTTTATGTTCTTTGTAAAATAAAGAAGAAAAAACAGTTAAACCATCTGTAATGACCTCCCCTAAAGTTAGCTGTTGTTGACATTTTGGTGCATTTCTTTCTGTCCTTTTTTCCCTGTGCATATCCACATGTATGCATATACATACGTATTTTTCTGAATTTGGACCATATTCTATAAACCATTTACATCTTGTATTCTAATCGCAGTATTCCATGATAGAATTTGTCTTCTAAAAATGAGTTCCACTATGCTTTATTATGCAAAGACGTTGAGGTAACAGACAAGAAAACATACAGTAAAATAATCATAAAATGTACATAAAACTTCAGAACCAGGGAAAAGAAGAACAGAAATGTGGAAAGTAACTGGATCTAGGAAATTGCTAGAGAGGAGTTTTGTCTTAGCTTAAGTTCCCTCAGAAGCAGACCCTGAGCCAAGAATTTGAGTGCAAGCAGTTTTGTTGGCAGGTGTAGGGATACAGGCAGGTGAAGGAGGAAGTGACATGAGAAAGGGAAGCCAGTCAATATAGGGTATACTATTAGGTAAAAACCAAGTGGGCAACTGATAATTAATTCCAAGTGGAAACTTGAGAACAATACACAGCTCATGGCCCAGAATATCCCAGGCAAGGAACTGGGGTATTCATACATACACCCACGCCGGTAAGTAATTGGTTAAAAGCTGCTTGGATGGTGCAGGAGGCACAAAAATATAATTCCCAGGTACTTCTGGCCTGATTTTTCATGGGCAGTCCAAGAGCAGGTTTCTGACAAAGATCTAGGCCCTGGTCATTTGAAATGTACCAGACCAATGTACCCAGAAATGGGAAAGGAGATCCGAGGGGTGTGGGCTGAAACTCAACAATGACTACTCAAGTTTTGAATTTGGCTGCATGCTCATGGCAGAGCCATGACCCATATGGGAATTCTTACTAGAAAAAAGGAAGCGTAAACCTTTTCCCAATACCTAATCCTCAAAAATACTTTCCTCTTGGGATTTTACATAGGAAGCATTGCATAAGACGGTGGGTGATGCTCGCAAACATGGGTGGACTTTGGAAATGTTATAGTTAGTGAAATAAGCCAGCCCCAGAAAGACATACATAATTCCACTTATATGAGGTACCTAGAATAGGCAGACTTCATAGGGGTGGAAAGTAGACTAGAGGCTTTTATGGGCTAAGGGAAGAACGGAAGGGTTATTATTTAATGGCATTTTTGTTGGGGGTGATAACATTTGGGGTGTAGATAGTGGTGGTTGTACAACAATGTGGATGTATTTAATGCCATTGAATTGTACACTTATGAATGGTTAAAATGACAAACATATCTATTTTACCTCAATGTAGAAAGAGCAGATTATTAAAACACAATGCAGATGTTGATTCTGAATGAGGCTGGTGATCAGACTTAAGCAAGAATAGATTTGAAGTACTCAGAGGAGTAGGTTGACAGTCTGTCCTGTAAGTGCTCTTCTGTCAATATCTTTTCTCTCAGATAGGCCTTTGTTAAGCACTTGTTTCTGTGTTTGCCTGTGTATTAATAACTCAGCTTCTGTCCACAAAGGATTTGAGATCATTTGCATATCAATATGGTCAGGGTGGGCTGCAGCCTTGGGTGACCCTATAATCTCAGAGGCTTAACACAAGAGTTTACTTCTTACTCACCCAAAGCCCATTCTGGGTGAGGGGCTTCCCCAGGAGACTTGTTCTGTCCTGGGGATATTTTTCATCAACTTGTGCTCCCAGGACTGCCCAGGCATGTGATTTGGCCTGGCCAGAGTGCACATCTGTGTGGTGCTGAACTGGACATTGTCTTCAGAACTGGTTTTGTTCCTCCTTAGGAAAAAACCTGAGTAAAAGGTCTTTGAAGTCAAATTATATTAGATTCAAAAGATAAAATATTGGGAATCACCATTTTATAGTCTAAAGCTATAACCTGACATCAAAGATGATGAACTGGCATTCAGGAAGAACAGAAACATCCCACAAATCCATTAATGGATGTCCCACGTTCATGAATGTCATACGTGTGTAAAGATTTAAATCACATGTTTTACATTTTACGAAGCATTTGCGCACAAACCTATGAGGTAGGCAGAGAAGTTACTATTCCATTTTGCAGATAAGGAAATTGAAGTACAGAGAGCATAAATATCATAGGACCATGCAGCTATAAAGTGACAAAGTCAGGATTAGAACCAGATTTGATTTTGTTTACTGTCTATTGATAAAAGAAATACATATTCATTTTTGAAGACTGGAAATACCTGGGAAGCTATAAAAGAGAAACAAAAATCACCCATAATTCTACCATCCAACAAGAATCACTGTTTATATTTTGGTGTATCACATTGAACCTAAAATGTTAAGATTTTATTGAATCTTAGGTGCATCATTATTTTATGTACCATTAAGGCAGAAAAGAATGATGCCAATTAAATTCTGAGCCGCTAGCAATTGTGAAATTATCCCGATTTTAGAGAGATTAAAA